TATAATTTAATTATTCAAAATTAATTTAATTGTAGTTTAATTACTGACAGAAAGTTTTTTTTGAAATTTAGTTTGAGAAATCTTTTGGAATTTATTTAAAATACTAATAAGTTTGTGGAAATTTAAACTAATTTTGATATTGAAAAATGCTTTTTATTTTCAAATAAGAAAAGAATTGTGTAAATTATTCAAAACTTCATCTATGAAATACAAGAAAAGTTTGGTAACTCTTAACAAATTGTGATCAAAATTAATAGATTTAAAGAATAATATTTCTTTACAGATATTCTTTAATTTTAAATTGGATTTTCAGGTACTTTTTATTTTGTTTTTTTATAAAATACATATAAAAGGTAATTTAGAAAATCCTAAATTTTGTAAATAAAATAATGATTGGACGATTGAATAATAAAATATTGATGAATCTTATATTAATTATAGTTAGGAAATTGATGAAAAAAATAATTAAATTGAAAATAATAATTATTTGGGAATAATTAAAACACCTTATATTGAAAATTATAATTAAAAATCTAAAGATTATGTTGAATCTAATGTCCAAAATCAAGAAGATGAGTAAGATAAAGAAATAGAAGAAGAAGAAGAGGAATAAGTTTCAATACAAGATATAAAAATATAATAGCAAAAAAGATTATTAGAAAATGCATAAAAAAAAATAAGTTTATTGAAATAAAAATCAAAATCTATTTATAAAAAAAAACAGACATTAATGGATTTATACTAAAACATTTTATAAGTCATAAAAAGTGTAAATCCATCTAATGATTTAACATATTAAAAAGCTTAATATTTGTATTTATAAATAAGTATTAAATTAATTGGATGTTTAGGTCCATACTTTGATATTAGAATAACATCGAATAATGAATTCGAATTCTATATTTATTAAGATATGAAAATTATTGATTTTATTGAAAACTAAAAAGATATCAATGAAAATATATGAAAATATTTATTATATATATAATATATATATATATATAAATATATATATATATATATATATATATATGTATATATATGTATATATATATTTTTAATAATTTTTAATTTTGTCTAAAAAAAATTTTTAAATTATTATAAATTATTTAGTTTATATTTATTTTTATTAATTCATATAATAAAATTAAAATTTTAATTTCAGTTAAAAAAATAAGAATTGCAAAGTATGAAAAAATAACTAATAAGTTCCTCTACAACGTCTTAAAAGCCACCAAACAATACATAACAAAATAAAAGATAGAATACACCAAGAATTCAATAACCATAAAGAAAAAGATTTTTATCAGCATTTGAAGAAAAAACATATTAATATAAACCAATTAGTACATCATTTTCAAATAATAATTAGTTGAATTAATCGTATAATAATCGAAATATAGATTCTATGTAATCATCAGTATAATATTTTAAAAAATCAAGTTTAAAACATTCAAAGGAAGAATTGAGAAACAGTTAAAATTCGGAATAAAAACCAAGAAAAAATCATTCAGTAGTATTTGAATATTTAAATAAAAAAATATTAGATATAGAAAGACAAAATGATGATTTAATATATAAATTATCAAATATTCAAAAATTAAGCAACAATAAGTCTTTTTAAGAAAAAAGTAGATTTTCTTCCAATAAATCTCCCATAGAAAGAAATATTAACTCTTTTTATTAACAAGAAGAATATAAATTTAAGAGCTAAAATTTTATTTTATAATAAAAAAATCTGAAACTATCTCAAAAATGTAAATTTCTTTAAAATAAATTACAAGATCGTAAAAATCTCATAAAGGAAATATATCAAATTCTATAAAAAAAAGATGTAGAAATTAAATAAAAAGATATGTAAATTAAAATAAATAAAAATTGATTTTATAAATTTGTATGAGTAATAAATTAATAAAACAGAATTATCCTTCAAAAATAAACTTAATTAGATAGAATTTTACTTAAATTGTAAAAACAAAACTATTTTTCAATTACAATAATAAGTTGAACACCTCAAAAAATTAAAAACTCTTAAAAATATAACACCTTTAATCACTAATACTACTGATTTTTCTAATTATTATGACCTTGCCTTTAATAATGGTTTGTTATTATTTTAGTTTTATTTTTATTTTTATTTATTTTTTTTCAGAAGAAAGTGATAGTAGAAAATTAGAAATTTTTTAATTAAAAAACTAATTAGAGCATTTAAATCAAAAAAATAAATAATTAGAAGCTCAAATGGAAAAGTTAGATAATCAAAATTCAAAAAAAATATAAGAAATCGATGATTTTTATAATAAAATAGAAAGTATTACTAATGAAAGTCAATTATTATTTAAGGTTGAATTCAAACACAATAGTAATAATTTGTTAGAAAAAGTATATAATATGATTAAATTTATTATAGAAAATAAACAAAAAGAGTAAAAAAAAATTAATTATATTTTTTTTCTATTAAATAAAAAAAATTAAAAAGTATTGTAAAAAATATTGAAAATTTAAAATACAAAATAAATATTTAAAATGGAAAAGAAACTAAAAATGAATATAATATTTTATAATACAACCAATAATAAGAATAGTAATTTCCTTAAATGGATTTTTAATTAAAAAGTGAAAATAATGATTATAAGACGAAATATTTATAGTTATAATAAATAAATGATGAGAATATTAATCAAATAAAAATTCTTTAATAAAAATTACAAGAAAAAGAATAATTTAAAACAGAAAATACTTACTAAATAGAAAGCGAAAACCAAAATATGAATAAAAAATTAGAAGAAAAATTAAAGTAATTCTAAGAATTATTTGAAATAAATAAAACATAAAGTAACGAAATAGAAATAATATAGAAAGAAAAATAAATAGAAATATAAAATTTAATAAAATAAAAGAAATAATTTGAATAAGAAACGGAAAAAATAATAAATCAATTAAAAGAAATAAATGAAATATAAAAATAAGAAATAAAAATATTAAAGGAAAAAATAGAAAATGAGCAAAAAAAGAACATGGAAAACATACATATGTTAAATTAATAAAATATTTAATATTAATAATAAATAAAAAATATGAAAAACCAATAAGATTTATTACTAAATCAAATAAATGAATAATAAATTAATTTTTTAAATTAAATTAAAGAATTAAACAAATAATTAAATGACAAAAGAATTATTTTATTGAAAAATGATAAAGATATTTAGCTTTTAAAAAAGGAAAATGAAAAATTAAATTAAGTTTTTTAAAAATAAAAAATTATTGGTGATTATGTTTTACAACTAGAATAAAAAAATTAAAATTTAATTCAGGAAAATCATATTTTAAAAAATGAAAATAATGATATTTTATAAAATTTTTAAGAAGAAGATCATGTTTAAAAAACAAATGAAAATAATCATAATTAACAAAAAGAAATTGATTGTAATATATAATAAAATGAAAAAATTCATAATATAAAATAGAAAATTATTAATTTAAATGAAAAAATATTACTTTTGACACAAGCAAATGAAAATTTATAGTTAAAAATTGAGCTTTTGAAAACAGAAAATGAGAATTTAAATAAAATAAATGATAATTTTATAATAGAAAGTGAAAATTTTAAGAAATTAAAAGAAGATTTTAATAATTAATTTAAAATTTAGAAAAATCAAATACAAGACTATTTAAAAGAAATTGAAGAATTAACAAAAGGAAATGAAAAAGTTACAAAAGATATTGAAAAATAAAAAGATGAAATTAAAATTATAAAAGATAATGAATAAAATTTATAAAAATAGCATGAATAATTAATCAAGGAATAAGAAAATCTAAAAAATATAAACTTAAGCTTACTAAAAGATGAAGATAAATTAAAAAAATAAAATGATAGTTTAAATCAAGAAAAGGAAAATTTAATAAACGAAAAAGAAAATTTAATAAAAGAAAAGGAAAATTTAATTGATTAAAATAAAGAGTTATATAACGAAAAAGAAAATTTACAAAAAAATAATCTTAATCTTATATAAGAATAAAAAAAATTAAAATTTGAAATCTAAAATGATTAAAAGGAAAAATAATCTATTATTGAAGAGAATGAATTAATTAAAATAAATATTGAAAATTTGAAATTAAATTATTTTTAACTTTAATAATAAATTAATAACTTAAAAATTAAAGACGAAAATCAAATAGATTAAAAAAATTTAAAATTATAAGAAAATTAAAATTAAGAAAAAGAAAACTTGATATAATCGCTTTAAAAATAAATTGAAAATTCGCAAAAAGAATAAGAAAAATATAATGACTAATTGTAAATTTATAAAAATTAAATGGAAATGTGTTAAGATGAATTGTAAATGTATAAAAACAAAAATTAATAATATACCGATTAATCACATATTGATAATTAAAATAAGGAAATTTAAATATTCATAGATAAACTAAATAAATACGAAGAAGATATAAAAAATTAAAAATATGAATTAGAAAATATAAATAAAGAGAATGAACAAAATATATTAAAAATAAAATTATTTTAATAAATAAAGTAAGAAATAGATTTATAATAAGTAAACGAAGAAAAAGAAATAAGAGAATTAAAATTATAAATTAAATAATATTAAAATTAAAATACTGAATATTTATAATAAATATCTAAATTATAATTACAAATAACAGAAATTTATTAAAACAAAGAGAATTTGGAACATTAAAATAATTAATTTATTTTATAAATAGATTAATTAAAAAATTATTTATAAGTAATTTAAAATGATGAAAGCTTTTTTTATTTATCGATTGATAAAATTTCAGAAAATGGCATAAAAGATGAAATTTAAGAAGATCAAGATATCTTAAAAAGCCTTAAATTTATTGTATATAAACTTTATAAATCGGCAAACAATATTTCTTAAATAGAAAAGGAAAAAATAAACATAAAGTTATAAGAAAAAAATGAATAAATAACTTTTTTAAATTAAAAATTATAAGAACTTTTACACATTCAAAAAATGTTGAAAAAGTCAGTAATTAAAGAAATTAATGATGAGAAAGATATGGATAATACCAGACTCGACATTAGTCCTAATACTCCTAAAGAAGAATATTTCTAAAATGAAGAAGATATAGAAGAAATTGTAATTAATTTATATAAAAATTTAAAAATTTTATTACTTTATTGATTTTTTTTAAATTTGAAACTTATTTATTTAAAAAAATTATAATATAATTACAAATATTTATTTCTAGTTTTGCTAATAATAATCAGATAAAATGAAAAAACTTAAGTTTGATATTAATGACTTAAATTATTAAAGAGATTAACTAGAGTTAGAAAATAATAGACTTTTAATTGAAGTTAGAGATTTTGAAGAAAATGAAAAAAAATTTAATATTCAAATTTAATTACTTAAAGATGAAATAAAAAATTTATAAAGTTAAGGAGATTCTTATTTTAAATAAAATATAAAAGATGCTTTGATATAACTTTTGTAAAAAAATATAATAACTATTTTTTTTTATTTAATATTTTATTATATAGAACCACATTAGATATTAAATATTTAAATATAATAAAAAATATGTTATAATTTAGTGAATATGAAAAATAAAATGTATAAAAAACTCTATCCAAATTAAAAAAGAAAAATGGTTGGTTTTGATAAAAAAAATTAATTTTTTTCTATATATATATATAAGAAAAAAATATTTATATAAATATATATATATATATATATAAAAAAATTTATTTTAATTTTATTTGATTATAATTTTATATATATATATTTAAATTTATATATAATTTTTTTATATTAATAAATTTTGTTTATTTGAAAACTCTTTATATAATTTATATATATCATTTATTTGTTACGATTTTTTATTTTTTTTTATTTCTTTTCAATCCTATTTTGGTTTTTACTAAGATGGTACAATATCTTCTTTCTTAAATCCATACTCCTAATAGAAATTAATTATTTTTAATAGATATAAATAAATAAATATGTTATACTGTTCTTTTATGGTCAACTTAATAGATATATCTTTAATAGAAATAAATTATAAAAATAACATCTATTAAAATAAAATATAATTGTTATTAAAAATAAAAAATTTTAAACCATCTCTAAAGCAAGAAAGTCTTTTTAGAAGTGGCATAGTAATAACAAAAGCAAATAAATCATCAACAATAGTATTAAGGAATTTATAAATCATTGTTCTCCAAGGAAGATGTTCTACACTTTTAAGTTTATAATTGATATAAAGTTAAGGAGTCATATTAATAAATCCAAAAAGATAAATAAATCCAACTGAGGTTGTAACACAGAATGAATACCACCCTTTATGCTCTTCATACATTAAAGAATATATAGTATATCCTATAAAAAGAGGGAAAAAAGCAATATATAAATATTTGCAGGCTGTTTTATCATATTCTTCAGTAGTTCTTGCCTTTTAAATATATTTAATTTTATTATATAAAAAAAATGGTTTTTACATATTAATTCTCATGATCAGCTTAAAAATAAGGAAATTTTCCATCTGCTCGTCTTTTGCATTAAGCTGTTTTACAATTTTCCAAATAGTAACAATTATTTCAATACCTGAGCTTATTAAAATAACATAACTTGTATTTTCACTATCATGTAAATACAAGAATACTATAATTTCGAAAATCAGACCTGTATATAAACTTCTTAAAGATAATCCTTGGAATTCCTAAAGATTATTCCAGTAAGAAATATCGTTTTTTATAGCCAAAAATTAAAAAACTGAATGTAATAAAGAAACTGTGAAAGTTAAGGAAAGATAATAAGGATTTGTTTCTATTAACATTTCCTTTATTTAATCTATTGATGAATCATCTGATAATCCATATTGATCTTGAAGTTTTAGAGATTCTTCAAGTTAATTTATCATTAAATATTTAATGTTCCAATAGTTGAAATATTCGAATGTTATATTATATTATTATATATTTTCTTATACAGTTCCTTCTTCTGAATCTTATTTACATAATAAATCTTATTCTCTTACCCAAAATTAGGATAAATCTAGGATTGGTTTATATTTTTTCGTTTTTTTATCGATTTCTAAAAATTCTATTTTTTTATTTAATTTAATTTTTTTTTAATTTTTTTTTTACTTATTAATTAAGGAGGTATTTGGCCTAATTTATAATTATTAGTATCATGAATTAATTAAATGAAAAATTTAGAACGATAATGAGGCTCTTTTGTTTAATTTTTTTTGTGAACATTTTCATTTGTTGCTTATGTGTTATTAGATAGTAGATTTTGAACTGACTTTTTTAATTTCTTTTCTTTTTCGACTATTAAGTCTTATGATGCGAATACTAACCCTGTTCTGTTTCGGTTTAGAATTGATACATGAACTACTGGATAAGGTTTTGTAAACAACTCATCAGGCTAAAATGTTAATGTCTTATTGAATTATGAATAGTAATTATATTATAGGTTTTTTTCACTAATTTCATATAATGTTTTTTTTCCTTTTTCAATTGTGAATTATAAAGTCTTTTTTTTATATTTATTTATTATATTTTTATTTTTTTACCAAGTAATCATCGCTTTAAAATAAATTGGATATTACACCTTTTTCACCTATAGGAGGATTATAGAAAAAGCCTGATATCATATTATATGCTAAAAAAATTAATAAGATATAGAATAATGAAGAAAATGATCTTGGTTATTATTGATTTTACTATCTTTGCTAATTTTATTGCTGGTTTTATATATTATTGGTAGTCTAATTTATGGTATTTTATTATTAATTTTATTGCACATGATTATATACAGTTTCTTTTTCAGTTGTTTATGGGTTATTATTATCCATATTTTTTTTGGTTTATCCTTTATTTATATATATTTTTAATTTCTTTTTATAATTGTTATTTTACTTTTGTATTTATTTTTAATTAGGATAAATTTAAAATTTAGTAGTAATTTTTATATATAAATGTGTTAATTTAAAATAGATATTACTTTATTATTTGTTCTGAGGTTTTTTTATTTTTTATATAATTTTTATTAAAAACTCCAAATAACAAAAAAATGTCTTCGTTATCTATTCTTTCTTTAATTTTTTTTATGTTAATTTCGAGAAATAAAAAAAAATCTAAAAAATTGATATTTATTAAATTTAAAAAATGTAAATTATTTCGATTATATAATAACTATAAAAATTAAGAAAACATAAATAAAATGTATAATTTATGTTATATTCTAAAATTAATTAGCTTCAATTTAAAAACAAGTGAATATATACATATATATATAATACAAATATTAATTTTAATTCAAAAACAAAATTTGATTTTTATGTGATAAATATACATATAATTTTTTTTTTTCTTATTGCTAATAGTTAGATAATATAACAACTTGAAGTTTATTTTATAAATTTCATAATTTTATAATATTATATTAATATAAAAAAAATATTATTAATCAATGATATTTAAATTCTATAAATACTATTAATATTATATACAAATTCAGTTTTTTAAAAAAATAAAGGTAAATAAATAAAATAAAACTTTCTTATTATTTAAAAAATAAAATCAAAATAATAGAAGTGATAAAAATTACAAAAAATGAAAAATTAGTAAATTAAGCCTTATCAACAACAATAAGAACATAAAAAAAAAATTGACGATTAACGAGTAAAATTAGATTTATTACATTCGTTTGGCTCATCATTTTATAATGGTTATAAAAATGCCTTAGTAAAAAATAAAATATAAAAAAAATAATAAAAAATATTAAATAAAAGGGAATAATGGAAGAAGATGGCTATAATTTATTATTTCCAGTTGGCAAATATATTGGAATAAAACCACATGATAAAAATGATATGGTATTTTTACGTTTAACAGAAAATTTAGAAAAAATAATTTGTTTAACCATTTCCCCAAATAAAAAATTTGTGGCTGTTTGCGAAAGATTGAAATAAGATGAAGAATCGTTTAAAAGATTCCCATAAGTATCAGTTTACAATATCAAATCGAATACAATAAAAGCAAATTTATAAAATGAAAAAAAACAATTTTCATATCCAGATACATAAACAGAGGCATTTATAGCCATGTGTTTTTCACATGATTCGCGATTTTTGGCCTGTCTGACTGATTCTCCTGAATATAAATTAGTATTTATCGATTTATTGGCTAACAAAAAGGACATAGCTGGCCTTATATTAAAAATTCCAATAACAAAAGTGACTATTTCTCCGAAAGATAATCATTAAGTGGCGATTTCCGGGATAAACTGCTTTAAAATATTAAGAGTATAAGAAGGTTCATTTGCATACGTAAGTGAGAACATAAAAAGACTTCCATAAAATTAAACATTTACAGACCATATATGGTTTGATGAAAAAAAAATAGCTTTAAGTAATGATAAAGGAGAAATTTATATAATATAAGAAAACGAAGTAAAATAATATATCGAAAGTGGATTTTAAATTGAAGGTTTGGGAATTAATTGTATGGTTGCTTTCACTAAAGGACTTATTATTGGAAGCGATAATGGTGTATTTGCGCTTTGGTTGAAAAATGAGAATTTAAGTGATGAAAATAATGAAGATGATTTTAATATTATTTATATTAGGAGTTGGAGTTCAGATAGAGGATAATGCGTTTTATCTATCTAAATTACCTAAGCTGAAGATTTAATGGCTGTTTCATTCAAAAGTAACGATATTGCAACTTTTGATTTGACAAAATTATTGCCTTAAGTACCAGAATCAATTGAAAGTTTGAAGTAAAATATTAATTATATGGAAAAAAAATTGAAGTTTGATTATGTTTTTGGAGGGTTCCATTTAGGACCAATTAGCTGTATGGATGTTTGCTTATAAAGACCTCTAATTGTTACTTGCTCGTAAAAAGATTCTACTATAAGAATCTGGAATTATGTTAATTTTAGATGCGAATTAGCAAGTAAATAATATTTGTATATAAATATTATATTATATATGTATATTTTATTTTATTTTTAAAAAAGGAAAATTTATTACTGATAATAATGAAAAATCTCCACTTTTAAGTGTAGCTTTTCACCCATCTGGATACTATTTGGCAGCTGGGTTTATTGATAAGTTTAGAGTTTATCATGTTTTGAAGGATGAATTGAAACTTTTTAAAGAATATCCAGTTAAAAATGCAACTTTGCTTAGATTCTCGAGTGGAGGATAGTATTTGGCTGTGGCTTATTTAATGTCGAAAAATTAATCAAATTAATATTGTATTAATATATACAATTCTTATTCTATTTAGATTATAGTAACTCTTAATGGGCCACCTAGTTAAGTAACTGAAATTATTTGGGGGCCTTTTGATGAATTTATTTTGAGTATTTCTATTGATGGAACTGTTTATAGATGGTATTTTTTTATTTTTATTTCTAAATATTTAAAATAATTTTAGGGTTCCTTTTTTTTCATGCTTAACTTCTAATATGAATAATACTTTCCTTAATAGGAGTGAAAAGAAATTAGATAAACCTAATATGAAGGTAGGTTTTACTAATTTTTTATTTATTAATTAAATTTTATTTTTTTAAGGAAAAATATAAATATACAAGTCTTCTATATAATAATTAAACAAATTTAATTTATGCGGCAGGAGGGGATGAAAGTAAATAATTTAAAATTTAATTTTAAAATAATAATTAATAAAACTAATTAGATAAAGGAATTGTATATGGTTATATGGATTAAAATGAACTTGAATAAAAAGAAAAATTAAGCCAATAATATGGAAATAATACTATCTTATATGGATAATAGATATAAGATATGGATTTTGAATTAAAAAATTATAAAATCACATAATTTTGTTTTTTATAAAGCTTTTATAATTATTATGGTATAATAGCAGGAACGAACTAAGGAGCAATAAAAGTAAAAAAAAAAATATAATAATAATAATAATAAATAAAGGTTTTCGGGCATCATTTTAGTAGTATCCCTTATGAAACAATCTAAGCTCATTGTGGATAAGTAACATAAATAAAAACATCTCCAGATGGTCGTTATATATTTTCAGGAGGAGAAGATGGAGCTATATTTATATTTTAAGTAATAAATAATATATAAATAAAATATGAAATAAAATAAAAAAGGTTTCTGAAATTACTAAAGATGGTCATTTATTAAGTAATCGTAATGGAGATTTTAAAGCAGAGGAAGAAACAACAGTTACAGATGTAAAAAATAATATATAAAAGTAATAATAAATAAATAGAATCCACGAGCACTTGTAGTTGATGAGCATTTAGCAGATGTAATAATGGTATATAAAAATGAAATAGAAGGGTATGTGTAAGAATAAGAAAAAATTCAAGCGGAATATAAAGATTTTAAGCAAAGGATGAACGAGAATTTACAAGAAGAACGTTCAATAATGGAATTTAAGATGTAAAAAATTAAAGAACAATATGAGAATGAGTTAGTGAAGTAAAAAAAGATATATGATGAGTTAAACTATAATAAATAAGTAGTAGAACAAGATTATAAAATAGTAATATAAACTTTAGAAGAAAAACATTTGAAAGGTGTGGAAGAATTGGAAGGTCTTTATGAGAAAAAATTAGGGTTTGAAAATGAGAAATATATGTAATAAGAAATGGAAATGAAAGAAGAAGCTTTAAAATTTGAGCGAACAATTAAGGAATTATAAAAAAAGCATGATAATAATATTAATATGTTAAAAACAGAATTTAATTAAAACTTTCATAAAGCTTAAAAAGTTTACGAAAACATGAAATTAACAGCAGATGATGTCAAAAAACTTTACGAAGAAAAGCTTTCTTAGTAAGAAGAAGAACATGAAATCGAAGTTAGATAAATATTGGAAAATAATCAAAAAGAATGTAATGATTTAAAAGGGAAATTTTAAGAATTAAAGAATAAATCTAAAAAAATTAATACATAATTAGAAGAAATACAAGAATAAAATATTAATTTGAAAAAAACTTAAGAAGATAAGGATAATTAAATAAATTCTTTAAAATCTAAATTAAAAGAACAAATTAGTTAAAACGAATTGCTAAGAAGCGAATTCAAATCTTTGGAAGAAATACATAAAAAAAAAGAAAAAAAAATATAAGATTATAAATACAAAATCTCTGATTTATAAAAATCTAAGCATGTTCTCTCTTTTAGAACAACTGAAATGAGAAAAAGTTTAGAACCAAAAGAAGTATATATTTTTATATATTAATAAAAATAATATATATTTAATATTATTAATTAAAAAAATAGTCTTAAATTGAGAAACTAAAAGAAGAATTATTTAAATTAGAAGGGGAGTTTGAAGAAATGTTATAAGTGGCTTAAAAGTCAAATGAAGAATTGAAAAAAATGCAAATAACAGTTGAAAACCTCAAAAAAAATTTAAAAAGTTAAATAGAATAAACAAAAAGCAAGGATTAATATATAAGATAAATTATTATGGATATATATAATTGTGTGGAAAAGAAAGATAGAAAAGAGTGGGCAGATGAGATGAAACGTTTTTATTAAATATATGTATTAGATACATAAAAAGATAAAGAGCTAAAATAGTCAATAAATGATGAATAAGGGTAAATAGAAATGCAAAAATAAGTATAATATTTAGAAAAGTCTATTTATTAATTAGATAAAGCATCTATTAAATTAACTTTAAGAAGAGATAAAGAAATTTATAAAAAAACAAAAGAAAACACTGAATTAATTAATGAAATTAATGAAATGAGAAAAAATAATTAAAAATAATAAGCGGAAATTCAAAATTTACTTATATAGTTAGATAATAATAAAAAAGAAAATAACAACTTTAAAAATGAAATAAAAAGAATAAAAAGTTAGTTATTAAAAAAATAAAAAGAATTTAATATGTTTGAAGAAAACAATACTTAAAATAAAGTTTTAAATCCATTTTTCGAATCTTCTTTAGATAAATAATAACCTTTTAATAATACTTCTTGTAAATTTTAGCCAGCAAACACACTTCCTGTATTAAAAAAAATGAATAAACTAGATGATAATTCGAAGTCTTAAGGAAAAATAATTAAAGGGCTTAATTTTGATATTAAAACTTTAAATACTTTTGACAAAGCTAAAATGATGGAAACTGTTACTGATTTAGAATTAATAAAGTAAAAATTAGCTTCTATTGAAAAATAATACAAAGGATTATAAAATAAAGTAAAAAAACATTTAAATGATTATAAATGTGGTGATTTTTAATTAGAAAATGAAATTAATAAAAGTAATTTTAATAATTCTTTGTTTGATAATCACTTATTTGATTCTTAAGTTTAAAATTGATTTAGTTTTTTTATATTTTTTTTCGCTTATTTTATATATATAAATAATTTAATAAATAAATTTAAATAATAATTATATGGTTTTTTGTTTTATTTATAAGAACAACAAATTAATTTATATATATTCCTTGTTTTAATGTTTTTTTATATTTTCTTTAACTTTTTTTTAAAAAACTTAATAAAAATAAGGAAAAAAAAATGGATAAACTGCCCCTTTTTCCGCAACGGAATTTTTTTTAAAAAAAATATTACAGAAAAAATATAAAAATAAAAAAATATATATAATGATGGTTTGGCTTTTTTCACAAATTTCTAAAAAAATTATCATCATCATCATCATCTTATAAATAATTATTTTTTTAGGAAATTTGTTTGTTAAGTTTTTCGTTTTTTTCTTCTTATTATTTATCCAAATCAAAATCTTTTGAAATGTTACAACTTTGCTTACTTTAAATTATTTATTATTCATTTTTTATTTCTGCTTCCTTTTAAATAATATGATTTCTATTTTAATTTATTTAATATTTTTCAGAAAATAATTGTCTGGTTTTTCTTGGTTTTTTTTATAAACTTGTACTTTCTTTATTCCTGTATATCTTCTCATTGTCTAAATATATATATTTTACATGATTTAAATTATTATTTATGCCTTTTTATTATTATTTTTCATTTTTTTTTTATGTTTTCTCATTTAATATGTTTATCTTTTCCTGTATTTGTTATTCTTCTTTACTGAGTCCATAAGTTTAATTTTTTTCTTAACTTTTTGAATTATCCTAATCTTTTTTCATATTTTATTATAAATAAATACAAACTGCTGTTATATCGTCAATAACCTCATAATTCTATTTTATATAAATTTAAATAATATATTAATATTTTAATACTTATTTCCATTAAATATAAGCTTCTTTTACAATTTTCTAACATCCCATTTATGGATTTTTTCTTAAATAATAAGGAATAATTTATATCATTACCTGTTATAAAAAATAATAATATATTTTTTTAAAACAAAAAAAATGTTACTTGTCTATTATTTAGAAATTCCCAAATTCCATCAGAAGCAATAACTATAAATTTTTCTTTTTCTGAAATATTAAAAAACTTAATATCTAACAAAAAAAAAGGTTTTTTGTTAAAAAAATAAAATAAAAACCTGGTTCACAAATAACTCCACACTATCCTGCAATTAAATCTCCAAAGCTTCTTGACATAGCCAATCCAGGAATATCCTCATACATCATCCAAACTCTAGCCGGTCCTAAAGGGTCTCCATTAAGGTTTCTATAAGAATCAACTCTTCCTCCTTTTTTTTCAATTCTTTTTTTTTCAACAGGATCGTCTGCTTTATGATCAAAGGAAAGTGGTTCAGCATCCCAAATACCTTCTTTTTCTTGAGCTAAAATAGCTCTAGAATCTCCTGTGTTTGCGCACCATAATTTATTACCTATTAAAAGTATAATAATAAACGTAGATCCACTAAAACTACAATCTATTTTACTTTCAAGAAGTTTTTAAGATAACTATAAAAAAGAAAGTCTTAAACAGCTTCCTATGTATTCCTCATCTGTACATTATAAATCTTTCTCGAGTAAGTTTTCAAGTATTTTTGGATACTAGTTTCTTAAAAATGCAGAAATATCATGTCCATAAACGCCATGTCCATCACAAACACCAAATAAATATCGATTTGGAAGTTTGTTTAAGTTTTCTTATATTATAAAATTGTCTTAGTTTCTTTTTGGACCTTATAAGTTTGTTCCAGCTTATGTATAATATGAATATATTATATGATTATCACTTTTCTTAGTTTATTCTTCAAGCCTTTTATTCATTTCAAGCTTTTTTAATTGTTTTTCTTGAAGGTTTTGAATGTTGGTCTGATGAATTTTTTCTTGTTTTGGATTTTAGTCATGTTTTTAAACTACTTATTGAAATTCAATTATTGCTTCAGATTTTTATTAATTATTTTGATGTTTTTATATTACTTATTCAAAGTTGTTTTAATTTTTTTAAAGGTTATCAAGACTTTTTAAGGGTTTTAATATTTTATTTGAGTTTTAAAGATTACTATTTAGTTTTTTTTAGTTTTTTTTGTTTTAATTTATTTTTTTACATTCCTTTGTTTTCTGTTTAAATCTTTGGTAATTTAATATTTGAGATATTTTTTTTTTGAAAAATTAAATCTTTATTTAAATAATTATATATAAAAAATAAATGAATTATAACTTTTTAACATTTTTTGTTTTTATATATTTTTTTTTAAAAATCGTAAATTATCAAAAAAAAAAATGAATTATATATCCTTTTTTTTAATAGAGTTTTTTTTTTAAAAAAAAAGAATAAAGGAGAGAAAAAATCATGATAAAATGTAATATATTTAAAAAAATAAATACCGTTATATAGGTTTTTGTCATTTAATTATTTTTTTAAGTTTTTACTTTATTATTGTTCTTCTTTATTTTATTTCAATAAATAAAAATTCTTTAATGTTTATTAGCTTTAATTAATATATTTATTTTTTATCGTTAAACTAAATTAATTTTAAATATTAGGTGCAATATTAAGATTTTTTTTTATATCTTCTAATATTTGTATATTTCCTTTTTTTTCATAAACATTTTCATTTTTAGCTTTTTTAAAAAGTTAATTTTTTTTTTTTAAATAATATTTTTAATACACACATAACTTTTTTATACTTTCTTTGTTGCTTTTAAAAGTATATTATCTAGTCTACTAAGCTGATAATGGTAATTATTATAAACATTATTTATTTTAAATTTTAAAATGTTAACTAGAGTTAGAAGTAAAATTTCTATATATTTAATTAATTTCTTTTTCTTTTTATTCAGTAGATTATGATCTTTTATAAATTTAATACACATTTTATAAATTTTGTTTTGAATTTGAATTTTTTTAAATCATTTTAATATTAATTAACTTTTTATTTTTAAAAAATATATTTTATTACAAATTCTTATTTATTATAGAATAAAATTATATATATTATATTTAAAATTATTTATTTCATATAATATTATTTATTAGAAAATAAATATAAAAAATTCATTTTATATTATTATAGGTATAAAAAAAAAATATTAATAAAAGCATAAAATAAAATTATATTTATTTAAGAAACAATATAAATAAAATTTAAATAAAAGTAAGATTTATTAAATACAGAAATATATATATAGTAACAAATAAATTTTTTAAATAAACTATAAATAAAATTAAATAATATAAAATACCTCAATTATATTTAATATTATGTATAATTGGTTTATAAAAAAAGAAAGTATAAATAGTTATTATAATTAAGATAAGATAATTTTAGTAAAAAAAATAAAATTGATGATTATTATTAATTATCAATCATTGTTATCTTTATTTATCATTTAAATCATTAGACTTTGATGTTAACGAACAAAAAAATTATAATCTATTAATAACAATAAAATAGAATAAAAAAATATTATTTTGATTTACCTTTTAGGCATTTATAATAAATTCGTTAATTTTTAAGTTCTTAATTCAATCAAAAATACAGGTTTGTTAGGATATACTTCTTTTAAGAATGCATAATTTTTTTATTAAATAAGTTCTGAAACAGAATGAATGTATTAACATCTATTACCATATGAACAAAAACCGTTAAAAAAATACTTTTTACAAGGCTTTGTTTTGTAATTTTAATGCAAATGATTTTTATCTTGTAACTCTTCTTTTCCATGAGCAAAAGAGCACTAAAAATAAAATTTAATGAAATAAAAAAAGTTTTTAATAATAATAATATATGAAAAAATAAATAAAAAAATAACTAAAATAAAATAAAATAAAAAATATTTATTTTAACTTTGTTTTATATATATTTATATATATTAATTATTATAATATTTTTGTACTTTGTCTCCAAATTTACACCAGTTTGTTGTAATCCAATTTTTGCACATTTCAGTTTTTATTTTTTTTGTGTATTCTTCTATATATCTTATTTTTTCTTCTTATGTTTGAAAAACAATCTTTTTAGGTTTAACACTTATTTTATAAAAAATTAATTTTTTTATTGTTTTTTTTAAAAAAATAAAAATAAAAAAAAATATTATTTTATGTAAAGTTTTATATTTTCGTTATTATTTAATTACTCTATTTCAAATCTTTCCTACTTTTATATGAATTTTTCTAACTTTGGTGGAATCATTGAGCTTTTTGCATTATCTTCCGATTCAGAATGGTTTGGAGTAGAAGCTTTCGTTGAATAATTTGCTTACAAGTTCTATAAAAATAATTATAAATAAATTATATATTTATAAACAAATAAATCTAATTTTTATATTACTTATATTGAAGATAGAGAATAAATAGATTGTTATAATTATATTGTAGTCTAAGAATACTAATACATTTACTAATATGTTTTTTAATTTTCTTTATTTTTTATTTTTTTTGAAAATATATATTTTGTTTATTAAATAATAATAAATTAATTAATGAAATATTTTTTATTTTTTATTATATATATATAATATGATTAATTTTTTTTAATTAATTAATTTGATTCCAGTTTTAAAATTATTCCAATTTTTTAAGCAAAATATTTATTTTTATTAATTTTTATAGAAATATTAATATACTTAAATATTATTTAATTAACTTTGAAAATAAATTACAAAATTAAAAATAAAAAAATACAATTCATCCTTTTTAAAACGAAAAGTTTGCTTAAAATTTTCGATTTAAAAAATATTAAAAATTCGGAATTTTTTATTTATATATAATTAGCTTTTTTATGATTTTTTTTATAAGTAAAAAATTATTTAGAATATAAATCTCGCGCTTAAATTTCTTAAATATATAATTATATTTTTACAAAATGTTTATTAAAAAATTAAGTTATTTAATTTTCTATAGTTTTTTTTTATTTATAGCGATTAAATTATTTTTATAATTTAAATGATATTTTTTAACATTTTAAGTTATTTTATTTAATTATAAAAAAAAATATACTTTAAATTTAAATGTAGTTGCATTTTTTTACATTAAATTAATAAAATTATTTTTTAGATAAAAACATAATTTATAATTATTAATCCTTTTAAAGCTAAACAGAAACTTTTTTTTAAAAAATAGTTCTAATTATATATAATAAAAAAAATATTATAATAGAAAAAAAAATATTATATGTATTTTATTATATATATTATAACAAATATTTAAAGTACTTGAAATATTTATTTTATTTTTAATAAATAAAAATTTATTATTTTTACTTTAAATATAATGTATTCATTTTTTAAATAGATTTTTATTAAAAATTAAATAAATAAATATAATATTCTAAAATGGTTTTTTTTAGTTAGGATTTTTTTATCTTTATTTTAAGTAATCTATAAATTATTTTTTTAATTTTTCGAAAAGAAAGTTTTTAAAAATAAATATAAGAGTCCCTTTTATTTTCTCTTCCAGGTTAACCTTAAAATTGATGATTAATAAAAATACATAGAAAAATAATATTTAAACAATCATATAAAAGAAAAGGGGATAAGAAGGAAAAATAAAAAGATTTTAAATGGTAAATAAAAATAATAGTAAATAACCAAAGCTATATTAATTTATTTTTAGTATTTTTTTTTTAAACAGTTTGGAAATATATTATTTAGCAATAATTTTAAAAGTTTAAATTGTTTGTTAATTAAGACTTTTCAAAATCAATTTTTTCTTCTGTTATTATTTTTAAAGGGGAAAAGGGAAATTAATATACACAAATTATTAAATTAGTTTTCTTTTTATATTATACATATTCAATATTAGTTTAGAAGATAATAATTAACAAATGATTATTCGAAAAATTAAAATTCTTCAAAACACTAAATTTTGCATCAATATTTATAATTAAAATATATATTCTCGCTCATTTTGAAATAGCGGTGGAAACAATTAATTATAAAATCTTCACAATATATTTTTTTCATTTTGATTTTTTTTTAAAAATAAATCAAATATGAATTCTAGTAAAGAATATATTTTTATAATAAAGTATATATTTTAAAACAATATAAAACTTAGAAATTTAAAGTTGTGTAAATATAATGAAGTTTATATATTTTATAAAAAAAAATTTTCATTTTTTAAAATCTTTCTTAATAATATAATTTGATAATAATTTATTATAATATAGGCATATATAAGGTATTTCATTAATACAAATTTATTTTTTAAAATAATATCATAGATAATTATTTTTATTATTTATTAAAATAATTTAAATTTTAGTTAATTTATTAAAAATATAAATATATTTATTTTTATTGAAATTCAACTAATATTTAAATTTCTCAATGATATTATTAAATTTAATATCAAAATTTTCTTTATTTTCCATTTATTTATATATTTAAATATTCATAAATTTTTAGTATTTAATTTAGTAATTATAATATTTAATTTAATTTTTATATTTATTATATGACAAAAACATAATTATATATGCGTTTTAAAATATTTTAATATTTGATATAAAACAATGATTTTTTGAATAATTAAGGCATTAATTGCGACAAATTTAATTTATCAATTAAAAAGTTCTGAAATTTAATAATAATTATTAGTAAATTTATTTATTATTAATATAAACATTATTTTTTTATAATAATTATAAAATTAAAATTTTCTAAAATATTCATATAATAAAAATACATTATATTATAAATATTTAATAAAGAAAATATTAAATTCTAAAAATTATATACAAAAACAAAACAAAAAATATGATTATAATAATATTTTAGAATAATTTTACTATTTTTATAATATAAAAAAGTTATTAAAAATAAAATGTTTATTATAGTTTTAAATATTTATTTGAATAAAATTATAAGTAATTGTATTTTAAAAGATCAATTTAACATTATTATTATATATTATAGTATAATATAAATTTATTAATTTATTTTTTTGTAATTCTTATTGATTTTATATATAATTATTTGAAGTAAAAGGTTATACTAAATTTAATATTTTTTTAAGTTATACATATTTGAGCTTGAATAAAATTCAATAAATTTTAATCTTTTATACATATATATTATTTAACTTTTCATAACTATTTTATTAAAAAAATAAATATTTTTCAATAAGAAACAATTTTTTTAAAAAAAATAAAAAAAACAATTAAAACATTTTTTGTAAATTATTGTTATTTTTAAAAATCATAATAAAAGTTATTTTAAATAATATTAATATGAGATAGGAGATAGTCTTAATTTATTATGATTTAAAGTAAAAAAAAATTGAATTTAATATAATTATTTAAAAAAGCCTTTAATATAATGTAAAATATAGAAATTAACTTTTTATAAAAAAATTAGTAAAATAATTATAAAATTATAAAAGAATATTTTATATTAAAAATATATATATATACATAAAAAATCTTAAATCATATATATATGTTAAAAAAATTAATATATCAAATTTTTCTATTATATAAAAAACTAAAATGTCCATAAAATTAAAAAAAGTAGGCCCTTATTTATTAACAAAGTAAATTGCAAACGGATCATATTCAACAGTATATAAAGGAAAACATTAAGAAACGCATGAAAAAGTGGCGATAAAAATGATTCCAATAAAAAAATTAAATAACGAAAATTATGAAAAAGTAAAACAAGAATACACTATATTGTAGTTAATAAATGATAAATCTATTGTAAAAATTATTGATTTTAAAAAAACTGCACAGAACTATTATTTAATATTTGAATATTGTCAAAATGGCGACCTATAATCATATATAAATAAATATTATAATGGAAAGATAGATGAGTCTTTAGTTTAACAAATAATATTTCAAATTAGAAATGCATTTGAAATTCTAAGGAAACATAAAATTGTACACAGGGATTTAAAATTAGCAAATATTTTAGTAGATTTTGATTTTACTATTAAATTAGCAGATTTTGGTTTCGCTAAATATCTCGAAAAAGAAGATATTTATATGAAT